ATCACAGGCACAGGGTGGAGGTCCTCATTCTGAGGAAATCATGGCTAATATGGGCCATCTTAGAGATAACAGACTGAGCTTCCCCCTCCTGCTGAACTTCTGGCATGCACAGAGCAAACTGAAGAAATAATGGAACCTCTTATTTTAAAATTTAATACCTTTTACTGCCTGCTGTCAAGGCAAGCCCTCTATGAATTTGCTGACATTTTAAATTCTACTGTGAAAACTGCCTCTCTATTTCAAATATCCACTCAACTAAGGATTGTATATAAAGTTATCCCCTCCACACACTATCAATATGAAAGTTCTTCTTTCTTTCCTGCGGCATTCTAAGTCACTTCTGTAACCAGCTCCCTTAAGAGAAAACCACTAAATCTTGCTGCTTACACAGCAGCTCCAAATCTTACCACAGTGCCTGTCAAAGAAAGAAATATTTTCAGCATAAGCTCCTGCAAGGTTCACAGGCTCAGTAGATTGTGCTTACTAGCTAATAGGAGAGAAAGGCAAACTGCAGAAACCCCAAGAGAGCTTTCTGGCAGAAAGCAGATAACGCAAAATAAAATCACTGCTTTATTTTATTAAGGACCTTTGTGAAGGTTCATTTGAAACAATTTAGTTTGTCTAACATAATTAAGTCACTAAACAGCAGCGGACAGCAGCCAGTCCAAGTCTTGGATTAGCAACGTTTAATTCATCTCTAATCAGCCTCATACATGTCGAGGAAGCATACACAGAATTTTATAAAATGCAAAATGATGAGTAAGGACAGTTGATGGATAAATCATAAAATAGATGATGAGTTTGTACTTGCAATTTATGACTATCAGCTGTCAACCAGAAGATTTCTTTTAAAGAAAATATGAATTAAATAAGTTCAATATAGTTATTCAGATAAGAAATGTGCAGCTAGAATATGAGGAATTTCTCTCTTGTCTTCACTAGAAATGAGTTTCCTGAGATGGGCACACCATAGAGCATTTGGGTAGGGTCACTATAGAAGCAGTACTGTATCCAGGAAGAAGCAGTCTAGCAAGTGTGCACCCATCAGCTCTTAATAATTGATATGTTTCAGCTGGCTTGAACCGAATTTGATCAATTGGAATAAGAGAAAAAGCAGACAAGGGTCAGTTTTAGACAGAAGATTTTTGATGCAGTACAGATCAAAAGCGATTAGGGTTTGAAATGGGGTTGTTAAAGGTACTTAAAAGCACTGTAGATGTACATCTGGCATGGACCTTAATCATAGCTCACTTTCTATATTGACAGTTGAAATTTAAAAAGCATTTTTCTCTGTATTTGAGTAGGAGCATCCTGCTGGAATAGAGAGCAGCCTTACAGAGTTGGAAGGGAAGAGAAGGCAAGGCAATTAGGTTACGATGACTTTAATTAACTAGGTTCAGAGCTTAATCTTGAGGTAATTCTAACATCTGGAAATTTGTAATCCTGAAATTTCAGAGACTATGTACACACACATTGAGCAACTAGAGTTGCAGAACTAAATATCAACAAGACTAACACTGTTGACATATTTCATCTACTTATTGATGCATAAAGTTTTTTATTGGTTTAAAATCAGTTAAATGTCTTTTGAAGTAAACTGTTATAAATACAACAATAGATTCTACATATGCTTTTCAGATAACACATCTAAATCTGATTTGTTATCCTTTTTTTGCTCATGAGAGCTGAAATTCTAATAAAACGGGGAACCTACCATCATAACATGTTAGAGTTTAGGAATTACAGAGCAAAACAAAATACTGGCAATAATTTCTGAGTGCAAGTAATAGAATCTGAGGGCTCTTGTGATCCATTTCTGATTATGTGAACACTGGGAAGATTAAAGAGTATCTAGGATAAACTATTGCTGGGATTTATATAGATTTGGATGCAGGTAACATTGATATTGGTTTGTGTAAGGATGTAGGATGGCAGTGGGGGCAGCAAGTCACTAGGCCTTGCTTCTGCATCACATGGGTCATACCTAAAAGAAAGGCATGAATAATGCATTTCATCCATGTTTTATGTGACATTGGAACATTCAGTAGCAAAGATTAGAAGACCTGGGAAAGAGATATCTATTGTTCTGTTTATCTTTGATGAACAATGAATGCCATTTTAGAAATGTGATCAGACAGAGGGCATGACCTAACAACAAGAGACTGAGAGGGAAAAACATCTAGGCTCTTTGTTCATATTCTTCTTGAGGTCCTTGTGTAGAGTCTTCCTTCTTCTTGAATATGAGGGAAGAGGTTTCTGCAATAGGATTCTTTGACAATGTAGATTTGAGAAAATTTTTATGGCCAGATCATACTCAGAAAGTGGCAAGCGAGGATAGAAAGTAAAAGCTGCTTTATTTTCTTTTTGGATTAAAATATAATTATAGCATTTCTCCTGTCCCTTTCCTCCCTCAAAACACTCTTACATATCCCTCCCAGCTCTCCTCCAAATTCATAGCCTCCCTTTTCACTAGTTGTTATTACATTCAGCTACACACACACACACACACAAACACACACGTATATATGTATACATATATGTATATATACATATATATGTGTATATATGTATATATACATATATGTATATATACATATATATGTGTATATATATATATATGTGTGTGTGTGTGTAATATAGTTGAACACATGCATATTCCTAAGTATTACTTGTTCAGTCTGTATAATGTTACTTGTATAAATGTTTGGTATTAGTACTTGTATGTATCATTTGGCACTGGACTAGCAGATATGTGTTCGTCCTTGGTAAAGATCACCTCTTCCACCTCCAGTTTTCCTCAGTTGCCTATAGTACTTTGTGTAGAGTTGAGGTCTCATAGGCTTTTTCCCATCCACTCTGGCACACTCATTGGTGTCATAATGCATACTGAAGAAGAAGAGTCCTGATTGAAGCTTGGATCCTAATGGCTCCCTTGGGGGTGGGGGTGAGAAGGTGCGGCATCAACAACACAGACACTGGGAGTCTGTTAAAGGCAAATGAGGAACTCATTTATTCAATAACAGGGAAGACCTTATATACCCTCCTCCCAGCACCCAGTCTGTGTAGTTGTCTCTCACTGGCTGGGCATGATCAGGAACTCTGACAGCTCCTATTGCTAGGCCCTTAGGCAGACTCCAAGTTGGCTCTTAAGGAACATGTTATGTGCATGCCTTGGCAACTGGTCTGAGCTAATTTCCTCAACCGTATGGCCCTGTCCTACTATACCTAATGTCTATGAATTGTTCTCGGAAGAGAAAGATAGGCATAAGAGAAGAAAAATCAGGCCATATGGAAGTCATCTGAAGTTCCTCTAATAACCCTCAGCTCAAAGCACTCAGCATGCCAAGGCACTCAATTTGCATTAGAGTATCATTTGCTTTGACACAAGCGCTCAAAGTTACAGATTTTACTTGATTTTTTTTAACAAATGTTAATGTGATATGTTTTGGGTAATGATTAGGTTTTGAGGTTATGACAGTAAAATGATTTTGCATAAAAACAGTTTACCATCTTATAAGCAGATTTCAATAGAAACCAAATGAGGATGAAATAATTATGTCAAAGAGTCATTCTACCTGCAAATGTGAAAACTCTTCAAGATGTTGGTAGCACATCAACCTTCTGAATGAAGAGTAAGATGCAGCCTCCTTCAGTAGAGTTGTTTCCAGAAGTGTTGTGTGTGGTGTTTTCTTAAAGCCTTTAACACTGGCCTCCCATTGCCAGAAGAATGTGTCATCCTATTAGTAAATAAAAATTTCTTAAAGCCTAGTTCTGTCATTCTAGATAGAAAATGACTTCAAAATCTCATGAGAGGTGTGGAAGATGACACTGTTAAGAAAAGTCTTGAAATATAGCATAAACTGAAGCAATTAGGAGAACCAGCATGCAGAAGAAAGAAAAAGTTAGCCAATTACCATTCCAGACTCTTTACTAAACAAATCTTTATAAATACTCACGTAAAGATATATGGATGGGGGTTGTCTTGTTTCTTTAACTATTGCTGTAATAGGAATGAAAAAGCAACTTAAGGGAGAAAGGGTTTGTTCTGGCTCACAGTTTAAGGGAGTCAAAGGAGTAGGGGCTTGGAGTGGGTGAATACATTGCATAGTCAAGAAAGATCTTCCCACATTAATTAATACAACCAAGACACCAGCCTTCTTGACATGCCCAGCGACCCATATCCCAAATAATTCTAGATTCCAGCAAGTTGACAACACCAACCATCACAGGATTCATCCTAGTTACAGAATTATTTGGATAAAGCCAAAAGATGGGAACTGACAATATAAGTAAGTAGTATCAGCAATGTGTGGTTGATGTTAAGTGCTGCGATGAGCAGTGGTAGCTGGGGCTGGCAGCAACGCTTGATTTAGAACCAAAAGACAAAGAATTTAAAAACATACTGTTTCATGTATATGTTTAAGAGATTGAGTTAGAGTAAACAGAGTCAAAAGGAATCTTTCTTTTAGAATTTTTGTGCTTGAGTCTAGTGTCAATATGGAAAGAAAGAGGAAAAGGAAAATTTTCTCTACCTTACTTTATATATCCGTTATTTATTGTGCCTAGTTTTAAAAATAAAATAATTTCCTATGTAATTTCACTTTTCCTCTATCTTTTAAAACATTTCAAAGGTAAACTTTCTCGATTACTAGTTACTTGTCCACCATGCTGAAATCGTCCTCAGGTTGAGCACATGCCTGTGTGTAGGCAGTCTGTTAGTGTATGACTGCTGTTGTTGTTGTTGGTTCCTGTGTAGTTTACCAGGGAAACTCACAGAAGCAGCAGTTGGAAGCTAAGGTGGAGAATGCATTGCTACATCTCTCCTGTGTAATCAGCTGTGGTGCAAAGCGGAGGCCAAAAGAGCTATTGTGCATGTTTTGGCAATTTACCAGCATTATGTAAGTAAACTCTTGGCCAGCATTTCTGTGCTTATTGCCAGCTAACATAAGATTTAGGGAGAGTGTAATTTTCAGCTTTTGTAAAGACCATCAAATGATAAATCGAGTAATCAGATCTTTGCCTGAATTGCTTACTGCAGTGAAACTTGGATCAAACATGTAGTAAAAATATCAGTTAATCTGTTCAAGAGGCTGGATATGTTCATTTGTTTTCTCTGAGCCAGTTTCATTCTGTCATTTGTGATGAAGGGAAAAGAAAAACGATGTCCAAACTACGTATATGTTTACAAGATTTTTATTTCTGTTTTGCTTAGTCTGTGGTTAAGCTGGCTCATTTTATGTACTCTGTGACACAGCGATTTACTCCTTCATTAAAAAGTCATTAATGGTGTTGCTCATGCATTTTTCTTTTTCAGGTTGCACAATGATAGGAATCAAGCAAATGTTTGCCTCTGAGGGTTGTACAGAGAAGTGAAACCAAATGAAAGGACACTTAGGGAGCTGCCCATACTCCCTGTACCTTGAAGTCAAGTTGAAGAGCCAGATGCTGAGAGTGGCACCCAGCAATTTATCTCGACCTGAAAAGAGTGATGCTTCTACCCAACTAGTGAGTATCCTTAACGAATGGGTCACATTTAAACTAGGCTCTCCGTACTAGATTAAGCCATTGCAAGAATGGGGATTCTTCTGCAGTGTCTCCAATGGCCACTCATCTCTGCTTTTGCTTTTAATTTTTGAAGCAAAGCAAAAATGATCCCACAAGGAAATAGCTGTGGACTATTTCATTGTTGGCCTAATGGAGTCATAAATATCTAGTCAAGACTTATTTTGTGTTTTTAAGCTATTGTGATTTCTACTGCAAAGGGAAAAGGTCTTGTTAAGAATATATTTTTCTTTAACATGAGGAAAAAATAAATCAGAAATTTCAGTGGAAAACACTGATGAGGGAAGAGTTGTTTGTTCTGATATTGTACAAGATTTTGTACAAAATATAATTAGTTGTTGTTCATATAATCAAGAAGCTTATAAAAGACTGGAATTTAGGCTTAAAATAATACAGGAATGTAATTTTAAGAGTATAAAATTAGAGGAAAAGTAGAAATTTTGTTTCATAGCACAGTGGAATAAGTAGTACATAAAATGTTGAAATCTTATTATAGAGGTCACTTTAGTTGTAATTAATTTTGTCATAATAATTACAAATGACAATTATTAAATCATTGTGAAATAACATAAGATATAAAAATAAATATAAAACCTTTTTTGCTCCCAAATCTGTTCCCCAAGAAAGCAATCTATTTTCATCTTTCCATTTTTCTCTTCTATTAAAAAGTTTTGACCAAAGAGATAACATGACTGAATGTGTGATGTAGGACTTTTAGGAAGATTAATCTGTCAATAGTGAGCAAGATCAAGAATAAGGAGAAGCATTTGAAACCTAGAGACCAATTATAATTCTACTGAAGGAATTTGATTTAGAGGCGATAAGAGCCTGGACAGAAATGGGAAGTTATAAGAAGTGCTGAAATGGAAAAATTACTGATTGGAAATGGGGCATTAGAGGAAGCCATCCTTAGGAATGGATGGAGCACAATTAACAGCAACTGTTCCAGACACAGAAAATATATTTTGGGAGTTTATGACAGATATTGAGATAAAATTAAATGCATTTTTCTAATGAGTATTATTTGAAAATATATACTTTTACAAAACATTGATAATAGAATTACAAAATGGAAAACTGCAACACACATTAAACACACTCTCTAGTCCTAAAATCCTTCTAAATTTCCAGTCCTCTTTAGTTTTCCAATGAAGGGGAGTTCAAATTACGGGATTTATTTTGAAAGAAGAAAAGCACTTGCTAAGGAATGAGTGGTGGGTGAAGGAGGGAAGACGTGGTATTTCTCGAAGTTGAAGAAGAGAGTAAGAAATGTTTAGAGAAGAAATAAGGGTTCGGTTAGAAGTTCATATGCAGGCGAGATCAGGTGCATTCAGGTGTCTCTGAATCTTTTGTCTGCTCCTGGGACCCTCTTCCTCCCACTGGGTTGCTTCCTCCAGCCTTGATGCAAGGGTATCTGCCGAGTCTTACTGTACCTTGTGATGCCGTGTTAGGTTGACATCTCTGGGAAGCCTGTTCTTCTCTGAGGGTAATGAAGGAGCAGTGGACTGGGGGAGGGGGGAGGGAGAGAGACTGGAAGGAGTAGAGGGAGGGGAGGCTGCAGTTGAGATGTATTGTATGAGAGAAGAATAAATTTTTTAAAAGGGGAAAATGTATTTTCAAAACTCAAAAAAAGGAAGAAAGAAAAAAATATATTTGTTTAACAATAATAACGAAAAGACATTAATATGCATACTGAGAGCAGAGACACAAGGAAGGAAGGAAGAATGAAAATCAAGGAAAAGACATTATTTTACAAACTTAACAGATCATGGACACTACCAGAACATCAATTTTTTAAAACTGGGTTTTATTTTTATGGACAAAGGGGATGTGGCTTGCACTTGGTAGGCAAGAAATTACAAGACACTTGTTTCTGTGGCTGAAATGATGGCTCACAGATTAAGAGCACTGGCTGCTCTTTTCAAAGGATTTGGGTTCCATTTCCAACACCCACATGATGGCTCACAACTGCAACTCCAGTTCCAGGGGATCTGATACCCTTTTTTGGCTTCTTCCAGTACCAAGCATACAGGTGGCATATATACAAACAAAACACTGTGCAATAATAAGAAACATGTTTCTCTTCTCTCACAACATACTCTGGAGAAAAATGTCAGTTGTTTGTCCATTTTTGAAAATTAAATATATAGCACAAAAAAGAATTGATGCCAACAGGTGTTAACATGGCAAAGCCATGTAGGAACAGATGGAAATGGGTGGAGAGGAAATAATTGGACCTTGTTGTTCTTGTGACTCTCAAAGGAGGTGATGCTGGCTTGAGCTTGAGTAGTAGTTGTGGAGGTGAGCATTATTGTTTGATTCAATCTACATGTTGAAGATATACCTGCTTCATTTGATAACAAATTTGATATTTGAAAATAGGGAAGGATTTTTTTATAAAATGTTTTATTATTGGCTTAAGTAATAGTGGTACCACTTGCTGAAATGAATGAGAACTTGGGAGATGTAGAACACTTTTTACAAATGAATAAATTAAGTTCTCTTATATAATTAGTTAATTAGACATTGAAGTGATCATGTTGCTCAGAAAAGTGGATAGATGAAACTTGATCAATGGGTGAAGTTTGAAAATTTGATATTCATCTTTATATTCACAGTGTAGAGACTGAGCAAGATCAACTTTGGAGCCCAAGTGAACAAAGCAAAGCCTCAAGTGTTGCAAAAGAACCATTTTGCTTCTAAAGAACTGGACAGGAAGAGACATCAGCTGTGAAGAAGTATAGAAAGTAGCCTGTTAGAATCTGGGAGGTTGATGTATGTGAGGAGAGAAAAGATGTTTCAAGAAGTCATGTGTATTAGTCAGGGTTTTCTAGAGTATCAGAGATTAAAGAATGAATCTTTGTATATATCTGTATCTCTGTCTATCTATCTATCTATCTATCTATCTATCTATCTATCTATCTATCTATCTATCTATCTATCATCTATGGGAATTTATTGGAACGATTTACAGACTACAGTTCAACAATGGCTAGCTGTGAATAAAATGTCCAAGAATCCAGTAGTTGCTCAGTCCCATGAGGCTGGGTGTTTCAGCTGATCTTCTGTATATGTTGGAATCTCAAGGATGTAGACTCCAATGCCAATGAAGAAATGGATGTCCTGACAAGGTGAGGGCAAGCAGGCAAAGAAGGAACACACCCTCTTCTTTCTTCCATTGTCCGTCCAGCAGAAAGTGTGACCCAGATTAAAGGTGTGCCTTCCAACCTCAAGGTCTAGATTAAAGGCATGTGTCATTCAGCTTCAAGATCCAGATCAAAGTCATGTTCTCTCTTGCTTCAAGGTCTGGATCACAAGTGTGCCCTCCATTTTTGGATTATAGTTCATTCCAGATATAGTCAAGTTGACAACCAAGAATAGCCATCACAGCATGGTTAACTGCGACACAGCTTGGTGGGGTGTACAGTGATTGCCACAGAATGAAATGAAGGAGACTTGAGCTTCTGTTATTATCTGAAATACATGAGGTCAGAATTAGTCTTATAGATCTTTGGAGAGTTGTGTTCAATAAACCCTAACAAAATATTTTTCTTGGAATTAGACTTTTAGTAGTTATCAGAGTGAGGCTGATGGTGTTTTAATGTGGAAGAATGTTGGTCTTATTTGGAGTGCAACCTACTGTGACATTGTGGGTAGAGTTGCAGTGATGGAGGGAGGCAGTAGAATAGGCAGTTCTGGAAGGTCTAGCTTTAAATGTAGGTCTCTGTGGAATTTCTAAATGCGCATTAAAGAAAGCATGACTTGGTACAGCTGCTACGTGATGGGCTGAGCAGGAAAAGCAGCATAGAGTGTTCTGGAGCCTTCCATAAGCCTTGCCCGAAGGCTTTGAAGGCCAGTTTAGTGGGACTGGTTTGATAAAGATCACTTGGGGTTAGGGAGGATATGTTTAAGCAGAGAATATAACTTTCCATATTGTCTTCAGTAGGAGTTCATGATGCAAAGTGCAACATTTTAACTTTGCGAACAACGACACAGAACAGGGCCATTTGGAATTCTCATAAGTGTAGAGCTGACTTTGTCTTACAACAAGTCAGGAATAAGATATGAAAAAAAATCTCATAAAGTTCAGTGTTTTTTTTTCTTCTTTATGTTTCTTTAGGCTTAGTTCATAATTGACAGGATGGGTGTTTTCTTGGAGGATAAAATAAATTTATGCATGCTTATCCATCATTTTTCACTTCTGTTTTGTCTGTGGTCATAGAACTCCCTCATTTTAAATGACAAAAGCTTCAAAAAGTCAGAGAGACAACAAAATAGTTACCAATAACTGTCATGTAAAGAAAACTAAAAATGTATTTAGTTTGGGCTTTTATTTTTTTTGGTTGTGAATTGTGACCAGGAAAAAAACTACTCTCTCTTTAATGTACAGTGCACCTTTACAGCAGAAAGTAAGAAACGCTTTAAAATTGAAAATTAATATTTTTTCAGGTTTTCTTAGTATATGTTATATTTATCTTCTGTTTTCTTTCATTAAAAATTTACCTGCCTTTTATTATTTCTGTAAATGGCAGAAGTAAACAAGGCTAAAAAATTATCTGCACAGGTTTTGTTTCTTGACTCTTGTAATTTGTCTTTGTTTTTTAATTTTATTGTTTATCTTGTCAGATATAATCACATTCAAGCACAATGAATTCTGCTTTAAAAATTATCTTACTGTATAATTGGATTGTGGTAATTATTGTTTTTATTTTGCTGCAAAGAATAAAATAACAAAGTGAAGATAATGAATATTTTTGTCTGAGAATGAACAAATATATATTGTTATTTAAAAATGATCTCTTTGTTTACACACTGACATCTCCTAATGTTATTTTTGTGCTTATTTCCTATGATCACTGTTGTTATAATTTGTGCATGGCCAGTATCCTGGGTTTTTACTGATTACACAGCAGATCTTTCTTTCCTACACACCTGTGTTCATCCATTGCTTTTTGTAAAGATTCCTCCCTGGAGTCTACTGTAGACATGATTCCTCCTCTAAGGTCCTTCCTTAGGTAGGTTCCTGGGATAGTAACCAAGTTGTCTCATCACACTATGCTTTATAAACTTCCTCTGGTAATCACTATATATGCTTTTGATGCCATACAAATGCTTTACTTTTTGTATACTTGAGGGATGTTTTATTTTATATATGTTTTCATCCTGAACTGTGACCAAAGTAGCAATGATTAAGTGAAAAATAAAATTGTGTCTTTGGTCTGGCTTTTTTTCTGTATTAAGGTGTTTGTTCCTTTTTGTGTGTGTGCTCCTCACTGCCTGTGTATGCTTGTGGGATATTCTGGTGAAAAATTAACAGGTATTGAAGGGTTTACTATGTACTGAGTATTACCAATTAGCACTCTACACAATCAATTCATTTAATTAAGCTTCCAAATGCTACATAGAGTACTGCTGTTCAAACAAGACAAAATAAAAAGCTTTCAAATTTTTAAATAAAAAAATAACATTACTGCTGTATATTTTGGTCCCTTGTAGATTTTTGTCCTTGGCTTCTAGCTTATATATCATGACTCTGGTTATTCTCTGAGACTACGTTTTAAACATGAAAACTAACTGCTTTTCAATGGCTGTGATCTTTAGGATGTTTCAGGTTTGGTTTGGTTGGCATCCTCTACAACAGGATTGTGATAATAGAATATAGCTGGAACAAATTTTGAATATAATATCTGAAAATATTGTTTATATAAAGGGCCTAAAAAGTTGTAATTTTCTTAAAACCACCAAATTGGGTAGAGGTTTATCACCATCTCTATGTATTTCTAGTGTTGCAGAACCTAATTTAGTGGATTGGGTAGTCTAGTTTTCAAAGAAATAATATTTGATAAAACTTCCAAGTTAGATTTTCTGTAAGGACAGTAATGACCTTGATATTCTGTATGATTCTTGTTAGGTTTAGGGAGAGATGAGGTTCAAGAATAGCATGGAATCAAATAATCCTCAGGCAAAAGAGTTTAGAAGATAAAAACATTTAATTTATAAGTTCTTAGTTTAAGAAGTTTTATTTTTGTTACACTATTTTCATTATTTATGAAAAGAAAAGAGCTAATAACACAGGGGTCGGGTGATTGTTTGGTCCCTGCCTTCCTGAAGAGTGTGTATGTATGCATCCTAAATCCTACAAATGATAAATCCTACAAATGATAAATAATATCCTGTCTTCTGTATAAATTAATGGAAGAATCATCCAAAAAGCACTGACTTCTTGATGGAAGGTATTTACCAGAAAGAATGTATTTCTTGGGGCTGGGTGTGGCAGTGCACACTGTTAATCTCAGCACTTGGGAGGCAGAGGCAGGCAGATCTCTGAGTTCAAGGCTAGCCTGGTCTTCAAGGCAAGTTCAAGGACAGCCAGGGCTACACAGAGAAATTCTGTCTTGGAAAATCAAAAACAAACAAACAAACACTTTTTACTTGAAGTAGAGGGAAAGTAAAAGCCCTGAGAAGTTGGACAGAGAGCCAAAGTTCTTATCTTTGGAGTAAAAATGTGTATGCATATCCAAGGGCTGAACATGTCAAGAAATTTTGGAAGGGAGCCATTCACTGTGAGACTCTTGCAGGGCCTGTGGAAGTTGGGTCAGACCTTCATGTGGATTCTCAGTCAGCTCCCATACCCAGTATTTTTTGAGGTTGTGAAGGTTCTTATTAATTTTAAGCTATTAACTGTGCCAACTTTCAATTGGACTTAAGTGAACGTATCTCCTGAGGGGAAGAATTTTATTGAGCTGCTTTTGAACACTAAAGCTTAAAAGGAAAAATAGTGGTACCCTTAGTTCCTTTATGTTCAAACTTTTCTTTTTTTTCCTTTTCCTTGCCCAAGTTAAAAAAAAACACATATAAGTGAGAATTCTACACCGAAGTGTCTTTCCCTTCTATTGCAGTACTTTGATGTCAGGCAGAGCTGTCTCCCTGTGTTTTGACAAAAACATTTGTTAAATCCTTCATTCTTTCATCATTTAGTTCATCTCCCTGAAGTCTCCGTTCTTCAGCTGGAAGTAATCGTTCTCTTCTTTGTGTTAATGATTATTTGTATTAATGAGGATGATTCCTCAAATACAAGTTTATGTTCTCTTTCTCCACCAAAAGGAGTACTCTTCCCAATTTGATTTCACCTTTTGGAGATTAAAAAACACACTTCCCTTATGTTAAAATCTCCGTAGTTTTCCACAGTGCTATACATAGTGAGATCCTCAGGAGTTGTCTCTCCCACTATACTTTTATGTTTTTCCTAATTAAAAATAATTTATTAATATCTCACTTAGAAAAAGAACTCCTCTCAATCTTAGCAAATTAGTTTACTTTAATCTCAGCCTTTTATATATGCTTTTTAGATTCCTTGCCAATCAACTAAAATAATTGTTAATTATGTGTGTTTTCTTATTATTTACTAATTTGTAATCAAATTATTGAAACAAAAATAAAAAGTCATCAACATCATATCAAAATGACTTTGAATTTTAATTGAAGACTTTTCATTTGTATAAATATACCTAATATGCTATTTGTAATTTTAGAGCCTTGGATAATGGAATCATTCTTGTCTTTACTAATATTGTCAAGACTTAATTATTGAATGCAATTGGTTGTCTGCATAAATATCAATAACAAAGTTGTGAATAACAAGGTCACAGTATCAATGGAGGAGGTTTGTACAATGACTCAATGTTAGCTCTTGTGCCCCTTCATATGTTGAAATCCTAACCTTTCATGTAGTGGTATTTGAAAGGGTTTGGGGTTCTTTAGGGGACTGATTTAGACATGGTGATAAAACCCTCCTGAGTAGTACTAATTCCCTTATAAAAGAATAAAAGATATTCAATGATATATAGAGACATATGTATGTATATACATATATGTATATACATCTACATTTATCTATCATCTATCTATCTATCTATCTATCTATCTATCTATCTATCTATCTATCTATCTATCTATCTATCATCTATCTATCATCTATCTATCTATCATCTATTTGCCTATCTATCTATATTGACAGCATCTCACTATTCTGCCCAAATAAGCCTGGAAATCCATCCTTCTTACTCAGCTCCCTAGGTGCTGGGAATTACAGGTTTGTGCTACCATACCTGGCAAAAAATACACCTTAAAATTCTCTAGTCCTTTTCTATTAACCAGAAGAGTACAGGGTGCCATGGCCATCATTCATCATGTAGGAATTCACTTGCAGTGTATCCTTTGATTGTTTTTCATCATGTTGTCCATTTACTTAATTTTTGTGCAGTACATTTAATAGGGCATTCCAAAAATTAAACTGTGAAAAGAAGTCCTGTTATAACACAGAAAATCACTTGTTTAGATTTAAATGAGTCACTCAACTGTGCTGTACCCACACATAGCATTACCCAAGGAGAAATAGAATTACCAGTGACGTTCAATGTGTCACATGATTTTTGATAATAAACTTCATGTTCTGCCAAAACTCTAGTCATGACCATGTGGATTTCATTGTGTTTGTTGCCATTTGTTATGCTTGATAAGTCAGAAACTTTATTCTCTATTGATTTCCTGCTGTGACTGCCTGAAAACCTTTGTGTTCTCAACACCTCCATTGATCAGATATCAATTATTTTTTACTCTCCAAGCACAGAACATATTAAACTGATTCTGGATTTATCTGCTACATGCTAAAGGGCCTGACCCCAATTTTTCTGCTACAGGCATTTTAGCTTCAGTTTTAAGAGCAATTTTATTCCTGACAATGTTGTTGTGTTCTTGCCTGAGAATCCTACATTGTCATTTATTTAGCTGGAAAACAGGACAGAAACAGTGCTGGGGATTATTTCTAGGGACTTTGTGGTTGTTATTCTTGGTTTAATCAGCATCAATAAATATATATTATTTGGGAAATAAACTATTTTAACAACAGTCATAAATTAAATGTAAAAGTGGTAGGAGATTAAAAACAAAAACAAAACTACCACCACCACCAAAAACAAAGATATACTTCTGTCTCAGAATCCACTGCATTTAATTTGCCTCCATACTATGCAAGCATTGCCTAAGAATGTCATCTGGAGTTTCAAAATAATTTCCTGATTCTTTTCCTAGTTTGATATTTGCTCAAAGATGTCTATTCGATAATATACATTTGAAAACACAATGAATATTCTCTACTCATGTATGAATATTTGTAATTTAAGCATTATGAAATATAGGACATGAGATTAATTAAATGGCCTTTTAATTATCTTCTTAAACATGCATTTGGTGAACCTAAGTCTCAGCACGTTGTTAAGTATTGTTTTCTGTTAAGCAGGGAACCTCTAGTCTACATGATGAGGAATTGTATAGAAGCAATGAATATCTGCACCAAATAACTTTGGGGTTTTACCAATGCCGGATGAAGGTAAAGGTATTGAAAAGCTTCCCAGCAAAGTATAATCTATAAGTCAGATAAAATTGATTTTCAGACTGAGTTTTAAATGAATTAATGTGGTTCTGGCTGAAAATAAAAATTTTCTGGTATACAATATGCAATGAAGTGTAAAAAGGTCTCAATGGTCTCATTAGATTGATGTTCATTGGGTTTGAGCATTTCATTGCACACCTACCTCCTCAGATTAGCTTGCTGGTAGAGTAAAAATGACATACCGAGAAGTGAGTTTTGCTATTTGAAAAAATAAATCAGGAACTGCCAGAAGTTATTTTGATTCTAATAAATATTTTTCTTTAGCCCTTTCTTGAGGATTACAGTTGTTTTAAGGCAGTGCATAGCCAGTTTCAACACACTCCTAAGTAACCTGGGAATCTTGCAAAAGCTTATATGCAGAGTCACAGATGTACACCAGTGCCTGAGTTTCTGCGTTTTTTAAGACTTAGTGTTACTACTGTTGCTCCATGGGAACATATGTCAGTATAGGAACAGCAGGGTCTCATGTCACACTGTAAACTTGTTCTCTTCCACCATTTGCTCACAAAGGACCAAACTTTGAATGTAATTTGTTTTACCCCATGTATGAAAGCATGCTGTCTCAGTTAGGGTTTCTATTGCTGTGATAAAGCATGATGACCAAAAATCAACCTTGGAAGAAAAGGGTTTATTTCATCTTATACTTCCACAGAACAGTCCATCACTGAGGGAAGTCAGGGCACAAACTTGGAGACAAGAACTGTTGCAGAGGCCATAGAGGAAGACTGTTTACTGGCTTCCTCATTATGGCTCACTCAGCCTGTTTTCTTATA